CATATGCAGCAGCAAACTGCATAGCCTGGTGAAGAGACAATGGCCAATGAAGTTGAATGGCACGGTAAAGCTCAGAATGCAGACCAAAAATGAAGAAACTCATGAATTGAGCATTGAGAAACTCCGTAACCTGATTAATTAGACATTCAAACTCACGAACATATGCAGCCAAAGAGCCCTGCTGAGAAAGCTTTGAGAGCAAACCTTTCAAGTCACAATACTCGAAAGCCCCAAATCGTTCCTTCACAACGCTAGCAAATTCAAGCCAAGAGGTAACCTAATTGCTAAGAAAAATCCATCGATACCACTCGGAGGCAACCCCATCTGTGTGTAATCCAACCAGGGAAACCTTAAGATGGTCCGGAACTTATTGCAAACAAAAATACATCTCCGTTTGGAAGAGCCAGCTGTAGGGATTTGACCCATTAAAAATTGGGATCTCTAATTTTACCCCTTTTAACAATTAGGGATTATCAAAGCCATCACTCCAGAGAGGTTGAGTGCAAGAACTCGTCGCCTGGAAGCGAGGGTTTAGCGGAGGAACAGAGAGCTCTCTCAACCACTGATCGATGGTGATGATGCTTTCGCCCCGGAGATCCAATCATTAATTAAACTCCAAACACATGGTTGTAAGCTCCTTAGCGAGCTCCTGTACCTTCATTGTTACCGAAGAAGTGTCTGATGAGTCCATAGTGAAAGCACCAATTTGTTATGAACAAAGTCCCAAATAGAAGACGAAAGAGCTAATTCAATATTCAATAATCCGGTGTCCATTACTCTATGCATCATGCTATTATATCAACATGCTCTATCGTTAAAAATGCAACAAACTAAAGGACTCCCTAAAATGCGCAGCAATTGCCACGTCATTTATTACAACACACTAACAGCAACTCAAGGTCATACACCAAAGACCTAATGCTCTGCTACACGAAATCCTTCTTCCAAGCTGGTACCCTTTTAATACGATTGGGCCTTGCAAATTCAACACTGGGCTAGGTTCCCTCATTCTCATTGGGCTGATGTATATTTGTAACAATATGCAGACCCGTAACAAAGACCTCCCAGATGCTAGGAACCGAATCAAACCCACAAGTCGAAACCACCAATGAACCAGTTTCCACCGTCTTCTCTTACACGCAGTCGGTTTCGATCAAATCAGTTAGAGCAGAGTGAGTCGACAACTACAATTTGTCGTCGACGCCGATCTGGTTCAGTTGGTCGAAGTCATCTGCTCCGCGAGTCAAACTCGACTCACCGGCGAACTCAGCGACAGATCGGATGATGCTGCTCTGTCTTTGTCTTGCATACATGAAGTGCATGTGCGAATTATATCACAATACAAAAACTAGCGCGATCTATGTTTTGCAACGTGATCAAAATTTGAATATTGAATTCCAGGAAAGTAATGGATTTTCCAGGAAAATGCAGAGAAAGAGTGAGAGGAGAGGGAGAGAGAGAGAGAGAACATCAATGGAAAATAATTGAGTGAGAAAAACAACAACGAAGGAGACGGAAAGGGCATTCATTCTAATAACGTGTTATAAAATTGATAAAAAGATTAGAGAAAATAAGAGAAAAGAGACATACAAATAGGTTAGAATATTGATTCTCATTCATTAATAAGAGAGTAATTACATTTTAATACATCATTAATGTAATAGTTATAAAGTATATCAAAAGGCATGGGAAAATCAGAGGTCATCCATATATTTTACAACAAATTCATTAAATTAAATTAATTAAATGTTAATAATTGTAATGCTTTATATTTCATTAGTTATTACAAGTTAATTAATAAATGTTCAACTAATTATTATAAATTATTTAAGTGACCTCAATAACACTTTATTTGCTCATTCAGTTCTTCAAACAGGATTAATCTAAGGCTTTTTGACCCTTTTACTCCTCGTTAATTAATTAATAATTATTTTGTCCCTTATCCAGAACTATCTACCAATTTGCTCCTCTTTAATCGATTAACTTGAATATTTAATTGATTGAATGGTCAAAATAAGCAAAAATGGTTGACTCGAGATTTAATAGATTAAATCCCCCTCTTTAATTGATTAAATATCCCTCTTAATCAATTTAATCGATTAAATATCCCAAATGAACGTGAAAGCATTGATTGATTAAATCCCTCTTAACCTTGGTCCTGATTGTATTTCTCAAATGAGCTGAAACTCATTGATGGTAGGAAGTATACATAGACCATTGTTATAAAATGCTATACAGATGAAGAGAGCTGAAATTTCTGCCCCAAATCATTTGCATTGACCTCCCTTCTATTATATGTTGGGTGTTTGTATTTAGTTGGGTAACTAAGCAGGTAACTCCTATCGCGTTTAACTTTTGTAAAATTACAGTTAAGAATTTAACAACACCACTGATAGAATTCATGAATAATCAAACTTCTCAACTAAACAAATTCACAAATTTGTTATAAAGTGGCTTGCACTTAATTTTGATTTTGACCCTACCCAGAAAAGCATGCAATGTGACCTAACAAGGAAGTTTATGGTCCTATAAGTATTTAGGTTGTAGACTACTGTAAATCTGGGTGCATTGGGAATTTGGGATTAGGGTTTGAGTTTGCGCAATTACTCCTTGTAATTTTCAATGATCATAGTGAATTTCCTCTGTGCTGCCATGGGCATATGCCACAATCAACGTCAATGAGGATATACAGAACCACCAATTTATTGGATACATAGTACATTTCTCTTATTCGATATATTGAAAAACTCCAATCTTCTACTCTTTAAGCTAACTCCAATTTTCTACTCTTTAAGCTAGCCTCACCGCTAAAATATTTTTACGCTTATAAGATATTTAATCGATTAAATATAAATTTTAATTGAATAAAAGAGATATTTAATTGATTAAAGAGGAAGATTTAAGCGATTAGATCTTGAGTCAACTATTTTTTGCCTATTTTGACTATTTGATCGATTAAATATTCAAGTTAATCGATTAAAGAAGAGCAGATTGATAGATAATTCTGTATAAGGGCAAAATGATTATTAATTAATTAATGAGAGAAAAAAGGATCAAAAAATCATTAATTTAACATCCAAAGTGTATAAAAATACTTGAATAACAGTAATTCATCATAATATAATTTTGAAATTAATATTTTTTATGTTGTAGAAAATAATTGTATCTCTTACATACACATAAGTATATATGAGGCCTATTTCGGGCTATGTGAAGAAAAGAGAAAAAAAAAAAAATAGATCTCATATATATATATAATAAAAAATTCTTATATAATAGGAAAAATACTAATTCCTATAATTTTATATGATGACAGCTCAATACCACTTTTCATCCTGACTTTCTTCACGGGCTTTGAGAGTTGTACAAGTAGTGATAGTTATGGGCCTGATGCAATCAAGAATGTGGCAAGTGAGCTGAATCATATCACAATTTTGAGAAAGGAGATCTGCACTTAAAATAATAATAATAAATAAATAAATAAGATAAAATAAAAAAAGAGAAATATGTATGAATGGGTCTTCTCTTACATAATAGAAGCTGCCTCAGGCCCTCAGCTCAGAGATTTGTTAATAATGTTTGTTTTGTAAATAAATTGTTGAAGACAAGAAAGGGAAGAATATTTTTCTTGTTTAAAATTGTTTTCAATACTGCCGACCGCTTTGAAAGTTTAATATTTGTAGCAGATCGGGTTGGCACAGCAATCTTCCTATAAAAAAAAAAGATTCCACCATGTGATAAAATACAAAAATAACAGAACAAAACAAAAATAGGGGAGAATAGGATGAGGATGGGTTCTGAACTTAAAACTTTAAGAAATAGAGGTTGTATGCAAATTGACACGTTCCAACGGCTATTTCCAACTAATGAATTATTGACGGGATTCTATGAAAGTTCCACGGACGATTACATTGTATTTACTCTAATAAGTACTAAAGCGAAATTGTATTTTCCACAATTTTCTTTTTTTCTGTTTATTAATAGGATTTTTTTTTTTTTTTTTTTTTTACCGTAGAATTTTCCTTTTTTTCTTTTTACTATACTCCCATAAAAATATATATATAAATGGACTAGCCGACCTAACAAAACCTATAGCTAGCTTATATTAGATCAAACTCGACTTATTATATATAATCTAATAAAACAGACTAAGATTTTAAAAAATAGACTATTTTAGAAAACATGTCATAAACTTTATTTTAAAGTACAGATCTATAAACCTACAAGTCACCTTAGATTATATTATTTATTTTAAATAAAATAAAAAAATTATTAAAATAATAATTTTAAATAATAAAATAATATTATTTTAATTATTAAATGTCCTAATAAACTTAATAAGACTAATCGGCCTAGTTCAAAATATTATTTTTTAAATATAAGTCAGATCATACTTATAATTTGAGTCTATATAAAACTAACAGACCAAGCTAAGCCTAAAGTATTTTAAATAAATTTAATTTATTTAAACCAAAATCTAGTCCAACTCAGTCTCTTTACATCCCTACATAAAAGTGACTAAGTGAGTAGGTCTCATTGTTAAAAAAAGAGAGAAAAAAACTTATGAAATCTACTTATTTTTATAAATATGGTAGAAAAAGAATTTCTATAGTAAAAGCAGACATATTGTTAAAAAATTTCTAGAAAAATAAGTTTGAGTGAATTAAAAGGTATAAATTAAATGTCGATCTAAATGAAAGGAGTGTAAGCACTTTAGCATATAATCTTGAATTAGATCCCACTATTCTTATGAATGGAAACAATACCATCGAGAATGTTCCTTAATAAAAAAATCATAATGTTTACTAAACATTATCAATTACCCAATGTTCTTAATTTTATTTTTTCTTGGGTGCATCTGGTAAGAAAACATTGAAAGTAAAGTATCTAAAAATTGTCTATTCTTTTCAATATTGACATGAACTGTATATGAAACAACTGAAAGTCTGAAACAATAAAAGGGGAGGGGAAAACCACTGATCAGTTATTGTTCCTAGATACTAGATTGAAGAATTGTTGATGTTGTTGTTGAGTTCATGTTGGAGAGTCTCTTCAAGCCAAAACCATGATTCTTCCATCAAGTCAGGGCTCAACCTGAACATCAAAACACAGAACTCCATCTGAGTAAGTGCCCCATCTCCATCAAGATCTCCTTCTCTCATCATGCTCACGAGTTCATCCTCCTTCAAATCCTGCAGACCCAGTAGAGAAGCGTTTCTCTTCAAGCTCTCCAACGTTATCACCCCTTTCTCTTTGTCCATCAACAACTCAAACCCATTACAAAGCTCTTTTATCAAACCTTCCCCACCTAGCTTGTTGGCCATCACCGGCAGCAAGTCTTCAAAGTCCAATCCTTTGCCCACACCAGCCATTGTTTGATTGTGATGTCAAAGAGAAAACAAAAGAATATGAATATATTGAATGTTTCAATGTGGGTTTCTTTGTTGAGGTTGGAGAATAGTCCTGTTTATATATATATATGTAATAAAAGATGAAGAAGAATAAGAAAAATGGAAAAGATAGTAGAAGGGGTTTCAAGGAAAGAGAGGAAAGCAAATAAGCAATGATCCCTGCTGCTATGACAGCCAAGAAACAGAGAATTATTAGCTGATCAGCATTGATTCTGCACAAGAAACCGTAGTTGCTTCCCTGTTTCCTAGAAGGTTGTGAAGGGTGTTTCCGTCAATTCACATGACTTCTCTTATAAGAAATCAGCTTTCACATTGTTATTTAATGTGTTCCTTACCTATATTATACCATATTTTATTCATATAATCATATATTTATGTTCGGGGGGGAAGAATTCTGATTCGTTTTTTCCTTTTGCTGATTACGGAGACATATGGACACGAGATAGATGTGTAAAATTATGTATAACATTTATCACATCTAACAAAAATTATTTAATTGAAATGAAAAATCTTAATTTTTTAAATAGAATTTGGTTGGAGGGGAAAATATAATACGCACTCGGTGTTTGGTACGCAGGATTTTTTAGAATTTTTGAAAAATTAAATTTTTTTTAAATTTTATATTTCGAATATTATCGTAAACTGAATATAAAAATTATATTTTTAAAAATTAAAATTTCTGGATGAAAAAACTTCTCCTCTTTCAAACGTCAATAAAAACTACTATCAGTAGTTTTACATCTAGAGTTTGTAGTCAAAACTCAAAAGGGAAACAAAACCAAAAATTTGGGGTCAAAATGCACAGCTTATTGGTCATTATTTATTTACAAGGCCCAACCAAACTAAGCATAGGAATTTGTCATGCTTGGTTGGTTCTTGGAGAGCGAAGTCGGTGGATTCTTTTAACTTTGGAGTTTGTGAACACCATTGGGTAGTGTTTGGTTTGGGAGAAATTTTTTTTATTTGAGAAATGTAATTGATAGGAAAATGGTTGGAAAATGAGTTTGGTAGGAAAATGTAAAAAAAGTTGTTTGGTTGACCCAAATATTACCAGGGAAATTTATTTAAATATGCAAAATCTATGTTCAGGAGAAACTTTACACTTGTTTTTTTCACTTCTCCAGTTATCTCAAAATACCACATCTCAAGTGGTATTCTGTAACAGTGAATTTAATCTAAAAATCAACACAAAAGTCATTTTTCCATTTATCCTATTTGTCTGGTATTTTTTGAAAAAATCTGAACCAAACATGATATTTTCCAATATCCACTTACACTTTCCCATCAATCCCAAAATAAACCTTCAACCAAACACCACCCCGCACCAACTTTTTGAACCAGCATAGTTATCCTGTTTTAAACCCATTTCTTTCTCTCTTCCCCTTTTCTTTTCTTCTTTTATTTTTGGGAAATGTATTTTTGCTGTTATTTCAGAATTTTTTTTATAGCAACATATAAAAAAAGAGAAAACTGTTTGTTATTTTAAATGACAGAAAATTATATCATTTTAAGAGAGATACAGACACAGAAAATTTGAATTTTAAATTAAAAAATCACTCACTTCCTCTCTCCCGTGATTTCTGTTTTTCTGTGTCTGTCTCTCTCCTAGAATAACACAACTTATGTAATTTAAAATGACAAACACTAAACTCATAAAAAAATAGGATATGTTGCGGATTCTAATTTTTATTTTATTTTTTTAAATAGATAACTGTATCAAAAAAAGTGATGCAGTGACAGTAGAAATTTCTCTACTCCTTATTTTAATGTAATTGAACAATCAATGTACAGCAGTGTTATTCATAAAACCAATTTCGCACTAGCAACGTCGGCACCATCCAGTGAAAGTTGTACATTATTTAACTGATTAACTCAACTGGACATTTTTATTAGGTTAAAACGACGTGCAAAACAGTTTGACAAATACATAAATAAGAAGGTCAAAAACAATTTGGTTGCGGCCTTTTATTAAATCCATGTGAACTTTTGTCATTGTGACACTGATATATAGAAATCGATCCAATCCATTCAAATACGAAATTCACGAGAAATTGCCTAATTCGCTATTTCAATCTACCCTCACTCGGAGGCAGTAGGAGATAGAAAGAAAATTGAGAGGTTATGATAAATTCACAATTCACGTTAATTTAATAAGAGCGATACATAATCAAATTTAAAAAATTCTTTAAGTTTTCTTCGTACATAAGAAATAATAAAAATGAAAGAGGGAAAATTTATATTACACTACCTTTTTTTTTTTAAAATCTAAAAGTAAAGTGTTTTTTGGGTCCTCAACAAAGGGACCTATTTTTATTCCTTAGAAAAAAAATTGACTTATAATTCCTCAAAAATTCAAAATTGATTCAATTAATCGAAATTATGGTCCCTCTAAAATTTAAAGAAGACTCGTGTTAGTCCCTTAAAAGGATTAATATGAATCTTTTTTGAATTTTAATGGAATCACAAGTTGACTTTTTTTTTTAATTGATTAAATTTGGCCCCATAATATTTATTGAGGATCCAAAAAGATACTTTACTTTAAATCTAAATATAATCTAAGAGAAATGTTTGATGAATTTGAGGGTCATGGCTCCCCCATTGCTTGCTTGGAGGAATGTATAATGAGAAAGTAACATGTAAGAATAAAGAAATATCTTAGAGGGTAGGACTAGGATTACATGTCCTACATATTTTGACCAAGGATAACACTGACCCCAAATACTCTTCCTTAAATTGAGCAATCCTGGAGAACATTGCAGCAATATTAGCTACCTGCCATTTTCTAAAGTGACTGTCAATTCATTACGTGAAAAAGTTTCCACTTTACTTGAGCTAGACGCTCTGCTTGAAGGGCATCTCCTGATAACAAAGGCTGGTTCCTTAGGACTTGGAAGAGTATTAGATTCACTGCCAAGCATGAAAACCACATTTGACATGTTGGGACGTTCATTTGGATCTTCTTGTAAGCATAAAAGACCCACATTCACACATTTCAAGCATTCATCTGCTTTGCATGTTTCATATAGTGTCCTGTCCATGAAGTCAAATGCCTTGCCTACTTTCCACAAATGCCATGCCTGAAATTCAATGAAAGTATGAAATGTAATAGGAACTATGTATAGTACTATAGTTGTTAGATATCCTAGAAGCACTTTAGTATTCTTACATATCCTAGAAGACTCAATTCATTTTCTGCTTGATAAAATCCAGTGTTCCTTTTTCCACTAATAATCTCAAGTACCACCACACCAAAGCTAAATACATCTGACTTGACTGAAAAATGTCCATCAAGTGCATACTCCGGAGACATGTATCCACTGCATTACAAAAATTGTGAAATGTAGAGCAAATATGACATATGCCTGGTATCATTTGATAATATTGCTATAATGCTACTTCAATGGGACTGAAATATGCATTGTTATGAAACTTACTAAGTTCCAACCACTCTGTCTGTGTTCCCTACTGTCTCTTTTCCTCCAAATATCCTTGCTAAGCCAAAGTCTGAGATTTTTGGATTCTTCTCTTCATCTAGTAGAATATTACTTGTTTTCATGTCTCTATGAATAATCCTCAACCTAGAATCTTCATGTAGGTAAAGGAGCCCTCGAGCAATCCCCAAAATAATCTTGAACCGCATATCCCAATCTAATAGAACACACTGCTTCCGGTCTTTGATATCGTATAGTCCGTTAGGGGGGCATGACATTTTACATTAGTCTTCTTCAAAAGAGAATGTTGCAAGTACATGAAAAAAGCTATGTTATCAGAATATTTCGAATAGAAGAGAGAGTCTTACCAAAAATGAAAGCATCCAAGCTTCTGTTTGGCATATATTCATATACTAGCATCTTTTCATCTCCTTCCACACAGTAACCCAGAAGTCTAACCAAGTTTCGATGTTGAAGCTTGGCAATCAACACAACTTCATTTTTGAACTCTTCTAAACCTTGTCCAGAACAACTTGAAAGTCTCTTTACTGCTATTTCTTGTCCTCCAGGAAACTTACCCTGACAGTGTTCCAAAAGTTTTATCCATTTCTATCACTATCACCAACCATGAAGTTGGAAATGAAAATCATGAGTATCAAGAAATTCTTAATTACCTTGTAGACTGGACCAAAACCCCCTTGTCCAAGCTTGTTTGCATTTGCAAAGTCATTAGTTGCTTCAAGTATGGTTTCCAAATGAAAATGTGGAATATCTATGGCCTGTGCATCATCTTCTTTCAACCTACCAGATTCAATAAAGTCTCTGACATATCTCTCACTGCCATACAAGTTCATCCCAGAGTTTTTTTGAACATATTTCCTGCTTTCTGAAGTCAAACAGATGAACTATGGATCCGAGTTAGATTAAGTATCCCCTTGAATATTGGGCAATACTTTACGAGTTTTAGAGAAAATTAAGTTACCCTGTGTTTTGGCCTGTCTCTTTTGCTGCAAGTGAATACATATAGCAGTACTTGAGAGAAGAATTAAGACAACCACAGTTGTAAAAGTGACTACAAGGATATTATGTAATGACATATGCCTTTCTGTTTTGTAGCTATTATTGCCTTCTGCAAGATATAAAAAAATGTATAATATGTGGAGAGATAAATATTATACAATAACAAAAACAAGCATATCTATCAACATGAAAAGGAAAGAAAGATCAATGGATGGATCCGTGCAATGATAGATAATTATAATGCCATTACCTAAAACACAACTTAATTCGAAGCCATCCCAAAGAAAGTTTGCATTGCAAAGGCATCTCTTCTTCCCATTAGTGGTAGCATTGCAAGTTGAATTTGGCCAGTCCATGCAGTCCAACAATGATGAACAAATCGGCTCTAATGGAATCTCCCAACTTAATTCTATTTCTACTCCATGTTTCAGGGGAGCATTAGAACTAAAGGTGGTTGGATCAGCATGGCAATTGCCAGTAAGATGAAATGGAGATGACTGGTTGAGAAGTAGAAGCTTGTTCATTGAGTTTTGACCATCACAGTTAACTACATTTTTTATGTGGATCAAAAACTTTTGTGTTTCTGGGTTTATGCTTATCACTTGATAGGTGCCCCCAGTAGTCTCAAAGTCAAGCTCACCAGTGGAAATGTTGCAGTGAAAACTGGAGTATATGGGGTCACCACAATTTGGTCTTGTGCTAAGAGGATATGGAATGAAGTTTGTGCCACAAGTCCCACAACTGCTCCTACTGGATTCTGCACAAGTAGAACCTCTGGCACTTTAGAAACAATAATTACAATACAATCTCATCTAGTTCTCCATTAAAGGAGCTGTGACCTCCATTTTTTCATATAGCAAATTGAGATGAGTAGGCAACGTATTTAGTAGCCTAATTTCAAATTATTTAATAATATCTTTTTTAACTATTCAAACGCTATAATTTTTTAAGTTTATTATTTTTTATTTTTTGAAATGCGAGATTATAAATCAATAGAACTTAATTATCAAAGTTTATTGCATAGATTTTACTTTGCGAGTTCTTCAAAATCAGATATAAAGTCAATAGAGTAAATATACATTTTGGTCCAATGTTGTAAAAACCTGACCGATGAAGTTATCATATTGGATGGGTCAAGTACTAAATTTGGTGTGACTAAGTGCGATCCTGCTAATTTTGATGAAAATTGGTGATCTGGTAGGTTAACTGGTGACCCAGTCTGATTTCTTAAAAAAAAAAATCCAAAAACAATTTTTTCCAAAAACAACTTCATAATTGATATATTTTAGTGATTTGTTATTTATTGACTCACATAAATTATGTACATACAATATTAATATTATCTCAGTTACGCACTATGCAGGGAATTTTGATTTGATTTATAGTTAGAGATGTCATTTACTGAACCTGAAATACCAGTATCACAAGCATTATATGTTTGTTTGATTCTTTATTGAACAATAATGTATAATTTATTATTTTTTATTTAAAGTATTTAGAATTTATATTATTTTATTTAACTATTTGAGTATATTTATAATTTTTTAATATAAATTATAGATGTACATATAATCATCAGGTCATGCGGTTCAACTAGTAATTCACTGGTTGAACCAGTGACCTGGTACCTTGACTGGGTCAATGATCGGGTCGATTTTAATAACATTGCTTTGATCTCTTAGAAATGTTACTTTTTTGGTCTCCAAATGTTTGGATCAATTTACGTAGACAAAAACTTTTAAAAATCAAAATAACACAAATAACATATTTCAAAGACTAAATTATACATTTACAAATAAGAGTGTCATTAAGAATGACACTAAATTGTATAAGAAAAACAAAAACAAAAAAACAAAAAAAGAGCAAGTGATATTTGAAAAACAATTGGAAATTAAGTGAGCATGGAAGAGAACTTGCAAGAGAAGATAAATAAACAACAAAATGCAAATTTACGTGTAATACTTAATTTTGCTTTGTGAGTCACAAGTTCGGCTCTGGAAACAATAGCTTTGCAATTATTTGTAAAGGTAAGACTATGTATAAGGATGATTCTCACCCCACACTCGCTCGGGTTTAATTGGAGAGTGGTTTTTAGTTTAATTTTAGCTGGATACTTAATATTAGCTCTTCTAACGATTGACTGCATGTGTGTGTATATGGACTGGAACCAAAGATCTAAGCTTGCTAAGTACATTCAACTGTGTAAGACTTCAGCCAAGACATTATAGGAACTCAAGAGAGTGATAAAAAGAAGAAATACCTATATCAGAAAATGCCACGCGAACATTCAGGTCACAACCATCATCATACTCTTCTTCTAGATTGTTCAAATCCTCAGACCAAATCCAGCAAACAGCATCACCAACATTCCCCTGCCTTGTCTTTTCAGTGTCTTCATATGAATAAGCACAGCACTGGCAATTGTTGAGGCACTCTGACTTGCATTCCTCTTCATTCTTAGCATTAAATTGAGCATCCGGGTTCCCTACTTTCATCATTTTTAAGCTCAAAAACGTGTCACTGTTGGCATCCTCACTACATACATTTGTTTTCCTGCTACATCCACCTGAAAAATCTCCAGCATTCCAACTCTCTTGGGAATTAGGCTTAAACCCAGGCAAACACTTGCACATAGAATCATACTTGCTATTACAGCTACCAAAGTTTCCACATGCATTAAACACACTGCATCTATCTCTAGGCTCTACCCAAACTAACAACCATTTTTTCTCTGTATCCATCTTCTTATACTGAAGTTGACCCCAGTAAGTCATTACCAACCTTGTGTCACTATATAGAGATGAAGTGAGAAAGGGAACAGTGTTGTTTGGGGATATTCTCAAGGTGAAATTTGACAACAAGTAAGATATTGCTGAAGACATCTCACCAGTTCCAACAAATTTACCTAATACACTGCTTTTCCAATATCTCATTGATCTCTTCCATATGATATACTGGTTCTCTCCCTGATCTTGCTCAAAAGAGAAGTTCCCTGGTGTTGGGTCTTCATAACTTCTCCATGAAGTTAATGCTAAACTCTCATCCATTTTCATCCCTGGAAGAAATGTATCTGTTGGATTAGCAAAACTCTGCCACAGAATCTTCACAGCATGTCCTTCTTCTTCACTTAAAATAAGGTTCCCGTTGTCCATTAGCTTCACTGTCCTGTTCTGTGAAGATGATCTTTCAACACTAGTGCCCCAGTATGATTTCCCACTCTTGTCCAAAACCCTGAGATTCCCATCTTCTGCAATGGCAAAAGCACCCCAAGAATCAGGAAGTGGGTTGTCTCGGTTAGCAACCCACACAACTGTTTGTGGTGTTAACCCATAGTACCATATTCCCACGTATCTTCTACCGCTAGAGCTTCCATTAGGAGTGAAAAATCCTAGTTCAAATTTTTCTCCTGCTGAAATAAGAGTATCCCTTCCCCCATCTTGTAAGAAGTTGTTAGTGGTTATGATATCTCTAGCTGAGCAATGCTTAAAAGCAAAAAAGAATGAACACAAAAGGAAGATAGACAACGTGTGAGTAGAAGAACAATAAAGGATAATTGTCCTTCTGGTTTCTCCCATGGTGTTTACCATGTGAAAGAACACAAATGATTAGAGTTTTTCTAAAAGTACAGTGCACAGTGATACAAGTCACCCTGTTTTCAAGAGAGCTCCAACCCACTAGTTGAATTCAAAGGCAACCTTAAGTAAAGTTCCTCACCAATTTAGCAGACAATAGTGTACTTTTGGTGTTTATCGGTGGAGTAATTGACGCATATTTAGGTAGGATTTAATTTTAATTCATTCATTCTGGCATTAAAACCCCTCCCAAAATTTAGATCTATGTGAAATGATTCTATCTTATAATAATATACATTATTATTATTATTATTTAGAGGTAGTTGAACAAACTGTCCTAGTTAGGGCCATATGTAATGAAGGTGCGAAAGTATGTCATATGGAATTGCTTGTAATCAATGCTGCTATGATATTTTTTGGGATTGTGTTGTCTTCAATATTTGGATGCATCAAATTTTAGGCCAAAAATCTTTCGAAATATTGAGAGCACAGTCATACACTGGGAAGCTTGTAGAAAAACGTATATTCCTGCTGCAAATGCTAATGCAATACTACAAAAATGATTTGCTATATGATTGATATATTATTGCCAAATTTGAATAATTGATTGAGGAAAGCAAGAAGGGACAGAGAGGTCAAATTCGTGGGGTTTTTGTCAATTTTATCTTTTTCATCTGGGTCCCTTGGCTTACTTTTTTTTTCTTCTACATCCTCTTACATGTGATATTTAATTTAAAATATATTGAGAGGGTATCCTTTCTATCACGCATCAATATGTTTCTAGTGGTGTCCCTATGGATCTAAAAACTCATTTATCCAGAGCTAATGTTGAAGAATGTGAATTTGGTTCACTTTGTTGGGAATTACATGTGGGGTCAAGCAAAATTCAGAGATGAGAAGAGAAATATGCATTCTAATTAGCATATATATTAAAGAAGGAAAATATTATCTCATGCTGCAAAATATAAAGTATGTCAGATCTATCATTTAAAAAGGAAGAAAAGGGGATCTATCATTTAAAAAAAAAAAGAGCGGGTAGAATTTTTAATTTCTACACTTTGGAGTTAAGAATTATTGATTTATCCTGCAATATGAGAAAATCATTTCCCGTTAGAAAACTATTGATTTCGAAATTCATTGATTTCAAATGGAGTTAAGAATATGAGTAAATACTTTTTTGAGTCTTCAACAAAAATACAAAACTCAGTTTAATTCCTTTGAAAAAGAAAAATTGATTTGTTGTTCCTATGAAATTTAAGAAACGGTGATTCTTTATAAATTCAAAAAGATATTTAGTCAAGAATATTTACATCCTGCGACTGCGATCTAACAATAGTATGCTATCATGCATGTTTTCTGACTTTTTAATTTTGGTAGAGTTGAATTAAGGGTTATATTACTCTCATGTAATAGGAGATATATTATCTCATGTGATAGATACATTCATGTAGTGGGTCCCATTATTTATTAAAAAAGAAAAAAAAAAAAAAAAAGCACGGAAATCGATGAGTCTGTAGGAAGTTATATTATGTCATGCAACATGAGAGTAATATAACCCTTGAATTAAATTATGATTGAGGTAGAAAGCTAGTCCCTGTCTAGTCTCTCAATCTATTTTCTAAAATCTAAACCAATATAAAATCATTCCCAATTATTAATTTTCTTCAGGGGCATCAGTTTCTAGGTAATATAAAGGTCATTCCCTGGCTAGTGTAAACTGTAAAGTACTACTACCCACTAGTCTTTGTTGACCCACACAAGTTGACTTGCATTCTTCGTTACCTCTTTCTCGGCCTCTTTGAACCGGCGAAGGTAAGGGTGCACCAATCCCGAAAGTACTTTAGACTAATCTACCAAGAAAAAACAATATATTGGATTTGGATGGTATGATTGAGTGATCTACTGGAAGCACTAGTCATCCTTTTTCTGTTTTTTGGCACAATGTGATGTACTCTACTGGAAGCACTCAAGCGGGTTCCCAATCATGGCCAGATACTTCGAATTTTTTATTTTTTAAGTTGTGGTGCAATTTTCACGGGATGAATACTATTAAACTCAGCCAACCAGCTTAGCTCAAGTCTCGAGCAAAGACTCTATAGTGGGTTACTTTTGACGAGTGATATATGACATATTATTTTAACAACAAAGAAACCTTAGTTTGTGTCGTGAACGGTGAATCCAAAGTTTTTCTGCTTCGCCTCACAATCCCTGATCTGGGAAATTAAACCAACTATTGGAGAGACAAAATAAGAGTAAATAATTCACACAAGAAGCAGGTTCAATGCTGTGAATCGGTTTTGAAAAAAATATTTTCAAAGTTGTATCCGCTGAGAATTGAACTCAAGTCTCGTGAAAATGTTCAACAACAACTCATCACTGGGCTGAATTTGCTATTGGTTAATATGCACCATTTAATATATATATCATATCATTAATAGAATTATTTCAAAATTGCATCTAGTGGGAATCAAACCCTTGTTGTGAAGATATAAATTATAGTATTTATCACTAACCTACATTTGGTTCTTGGTACACTTGCTATAACACCTCGCATTTCTAAAACAGGTATTAATATAGTAAATACGGATTAAATGGTAGGATTAGTGAAAATCTTAAAAATTAAGTTAAAATGCAAAAGAAGGATAAAACGGTAATTAGCCAAACACACAACCCTAGGAAGGTAAAATTGAGTAGGAGGTATCAAATGATGAAAATAACTCTGGAAATGGGTTCAGAACGAAAAATTGAGTGGTTAGGCAAGTTTCAGAAAATTCAGTGAATAGTGTTTTTACCAGGTAAAAATATTGCGGTACAGTTGCACCGTAAAGCGTGCCGATTGAATTTTGAACTCTAAGTTTTGAATACAAGTTATAAATGGTATATATGACTAGGAAATATGATTTGTGATGAAAATTGATGGAAATTAGTAAGTTTGGGGAAGCGTGCCTACAGCACGCATAACAGCTTAAAACTGCAGTTTCTCCGAACGACCAGAAAACTCAGGATTCATCTGATCAAGGGTAATCAAAGGACAATGGTTAATTTTAAAAATTAGAGTTTCTAAATAGGTTATGAGATTATGGACGTTTAGTGGAATCGGAGGGAAATTCAAATTAGTTTGAAATCGCGTGAGGTGGCGGTGGGGCCCACCTCACTTAAGTCACTTAAACACACATGCTCCATCACTATTCATCATCACTCACATTCACTCTCTCTCTCTCTCTCTCTCTCAAAACCGCGGGTTTCACCATGGAAAGGGGGGAGGGAAATAGTTTGGTTTGATTCAAGGTGATTTAGCCACCAAATTGAGGAAACTTTGTCACCAATCTTCAAGTAAACGACGATCCGGACTCAACCATACCATCCATTAGCCTTGAAACCCTCTCATTTGTGAGAAATAAAGAAAAAAACAGCCACGAATTTGAGGAGTTTTTTGGGGAATTTGGGGTTGTTTGCTCAAGTCATTGCTTGAGGATCAATTAGAGGAGTCTTGTGACTTAATTGTGGGTAAGTTTCAACACCTTTCATGGATTAATTTGATGATTTAATTTCATGAAAACCTAGAGCTTGTATGCTTGATTTATGGAGTTAGAGAGCTCAAAATGAGATTGTGTATTAGATAAATATGTCTTAGAATGATGTGTTGGTGTGATAAATGCAATAAAATTTATCGAGGAAATGTGCTCATAACTAAGGAAATCTTGATGAGAAATCCAACACTTCGTGATTTTGAATTGTTTTAGGATTGTGTAATTGAGTTGTTGTATGGTTGTATGATGTAATAATAAGATTGTATGAGGTGTGGAGTAGTTGAATTGAATGGAATGATCCTTGGTACGGGCCTATGAAGATTTCAGCCAAAGAGGGGGGAAATGGGGATTTGATGTTGTGGAATTGTATGATTGGTATGTTGTGATGTTAAAGGATAATTAGAAGGGTTGTGTGATAGATTGATGCTTTGGAAACCATAAGAAAAATGGTTGGATTGTTTGAAATTGGAAATTGAACCTAGAGTGAAATTAATGGCAAAATGAGGTTGTGATGATGTAGAATGCAAATTGGCACCTAAAATGACATTGGGGTAACCTTAGGATGCTTAAGAAAAATGAAAAGAAAATTTAGAAAAATAAATTGTGTTTTAACACATGAATTGCCGAACCTCACTTGTGGGGGGAGGAAAAATTGTCATTTTGTGACTTTGGTGGATTCACCGTATATTAAAGATCTGTATATAATCAATGTAGGTTGCCTCCCGCGGATTTGAACCATGAACCGTGAGCTCGGTTGGTTGCCCTTGGTCCCGGACCAAAAGGGATTGAGGTAAGTCTTTTGGAACCATGCATATGTACTTGATGATTTGCATGTATCGGTGAATGGAAATTAATTGGAAATGTCCTCTGTGTAGGCATTTCTGTTTGTGTACCTAGCTCGGGAAATATATTACGTTGGAGCTGTGGGAGAGGATTATACAGGTAACCTCTTGGTACTGGGGTTTGATCCCCTTATGTATTCCACCATGCCCGTAGAGGGTGATGGTAGGAAGTGTATGTAAATAATATAGGATAACATGTTCATGCATATTGTATGTGTGGTGGTACATAGGATGTACCGTGTCTCTGGCCAGTAGACTGTTCGCCTTCGGGCGTTACGGACTTCTACTGGATAGGTCTCCGAGAGGGAGTTCCAGTTGACCTGGGGTCGTGGTGTGTGATCCAGATAGGAGCACACTAGGAAGTCTCAGGTGGATATGGATGGAGGGTGCCTTGGTTGATGTTCTGGGAACACGCCTTGGTTTGAAACCCGTAGGCTTATATGCCGAGCCAATAGGCTGGACGTTGCGTGGTTTTGGCATTGACCATTCCAGCTTCGTCGTATTTTGTATCCCTATGATCCCTATTTCACTA